GCTGCTGCTGCTGCTGCTGCTGCTGCACGCTTAGTGTGAACATATATAAGTGGTACAAAGATGTATATATGGGTTGTCAATGTTAAAATGTGTTACAATCTTTGTAATAAGTCATATGATCAATGAAATAATATGAAATCTGTTAAAAATGCAATTTCATATTACATATTTATTTTTAGATTGCATTTATTATACCCTTAAAAAATACAATCTCAGAGAAAAATTGTGTTTAAATGTTAATTCTGTGGAGGTTTTGGATTTTTATTTATTAAAGCATTTACATCTTTGTTAATAATTGATCATATGATTTAAACAACTCATTCCTACATCAATTATGTAGCTAAGCTCTACTATTGTTTACATTTTGTTATCTCAAATTATATTTAAGTGGTTTTACAATTTTAATGTATTTGAAAGTATTTTAATATTAAGATGTGCCCAATATTGAGTTCAAAGCTTTATTAGTGTACGCAAAACTAGTAACTAGTTGATCCAACAATGTTAAATATAAACCATTGACAACTTCACTTAGTGCACAATTAACGACTCAAGGAACTAAGATAACATTTTAACAATTTTATAGTACAATAGAAAAAATATCTGATGAAAATAAGTGTTTAAAATATAAGCATGCCATGATGTGCCTGAATATGTATTTATAAGTTGTATATAAAAAATCTATTACTTTTAAGACTTAAAAGTAAATATATTTAATTTATAAGAGTTTAAAATTCCGTTTTGACGTACATATGTTTTTTAATGTTATTAAAACCATCGTTTATGTTCCTCTATTCGAAATAATTAAGTTGATTATTGACAGATACCTTTATTATACATTCCTTTTTAGAGATGTATTTTCAATATAACAATTTACATGTAAGTCATTAATTTTAATATATTTTTTATTATTTATATTTTTATAATATGACAATACACAAATAAAAATAAATAGTGACAATGAATTAACTGAAACATGTGACATTTTTTTATGCGAAATATTTTAATAGACAATGTAAATTATAGAAACAGTATTGCCAGAGGCATGCCATAGAGTAGTGATTTGATTTCCAGTTGCCATTAGGTTGTGTTAGAACATTTACAAAATTTTATCTAGTTACCTAAATTGTATCTGTTTTTTATATAAGAATTTATATTAAATTCTATTTAATACGAGTCTGACTTAGAATTATGGAAATATATAATTTCGACAGATTGTAATTTTTGATACAAAATGGAATTGTGATATTGATATTTATAAAGTAAAAATTATTCAAATTTGTTTTGTTTTATTTATCAATCTATGTTTGAATGAAAACATAATCCATACATTTTTTAATTTCAATAGCATTGATAACCTATAGTAATGAGTATGAGTAGGTTTTTATAAAACTTTTCAATAGTCTTTGTGTAAAATATCATTTTTATCTTGGTAAGAGATAATTAAAGTGCAACAGACAAGTGAAAACTTAACAAAGACCAGACTGTTAGTGCGTTCACTTTTATGCTCGGTATTTATCTTATCTTAACCTACCAATATTTTATATTTTACTCAACCACACTTTGCACATACGTTAAAAAACTATCAAAATAAAGATTTTTCAAGTCTAGATTAAACAATTTTAACGAGAGCTTAATGTTTAAGATATAAATTAGTTGATTTCTATGAATAATTATGAAATAATCCGATTCTTACCAATATTCTTAAACAACACAGTCCAGGACAATTCCATGTCCTTTTCTAAAGTGCACTATTTTCTAAGTCAAATAAAATCAAAAATTAAATGTCTTTTAACTTTTAGACCCTAAATATTGATTCTACATTCACTGTAAGGTGGCGGCGGAGTCTCTGAGCGGTTTGGAACTCTTATAGCATCGGCTTGTAGCGCAGTTTCCCTCACACGCTGCCCGCCGTTAGGAACTTCTCTCTCAGGTAAAGACAGTTGCCGTCGGTACTGAGGTGGAGTTTCCAAATTAGGATTCAAAATATTGTTCCATAGTAAATTAGCTCTCAAATCATTGTCGTTATGTCTTCGCGTTCTTCTACGTTGTCTGTCGTTCCGTGAGCAGAACAAATTCCCGCATTTACAGAACTGACGTAACCATATGTAGGTGCCAACCACGCCGATAGCTAGACCCACTTCTAAACCAATAACGAACGCTTGAAACGCGGAGAATTCTTTATCGAATTTCTTAAACGGCGTTAGAGGTGTGGTCGGTGACAGCGTCTGTTCTGTTACATTTTTTGTTATATTCCAAACTCGATTGATATCAACTGGTTCTCTAGTTTCTGTTACTATAGAAATCATTTTTTCTGACATTTTTGGTAGTTTCTTCTTACACTGTCTGGTGTAGGTGATGCCGCGAGACACGATCCATGACTCAACTGCTATAAAACTCGGATTGCACTGCCAATATTCGTTACGAAGTTCTATTCTGTCCAATTTTCTCAACGGTCGTAAAATATCCACATTTATGGAAATCATGTAATTTTCGCTCAAATCTATCTTCTTTAAATTCGGCAGACGAGTAAACAGTCGATCGGGCAATGATTTTATACGGCAGTTGTTGAGGTTTAAAATCTAAAAGCAATACACATTATTATGGTACTGAAAGTCAAATGGTTTAAGAAAGTTGTTAGTCAATATTTTACAATAGTTATCTTACCTGCAAATTTGTGTGCATTAAGAATGGTTCATTCTTGAGGCTCTCAAATACATTTCCCGACAGATCTAATGTGTCCAAATGCGGTGTGTCCCAAAACAGATCGCCTGGGATATAACGTAGTCTGTTACTGCTTAGGTCCAAATAAACTAAGTTATCAAGACCCGCGAAAGCGTGCAGACCAATCCAGAATATTAGATTATAAGATAGATTTAGTATCTGTATTGATGTATAGCCTAGGTCCTGAAAATATTGTAAATTGCTAATCACATTTCGACATCCGATGTTTCTAAGTATTAGGATTTAAGAAAAGGATTATTTTTTAACTTTTCAAAAACAGTTGAAGCTTTTGCACACTTTGTAGACACACAATCATACTACTAATATTATATATGCGAAAGTTTAGATGGATGGATGTTTGTTAGAGTTTGTAGCCTAAACGGCTGAACGGATTTCGATGAAATTTGCCATAGACGTAGAGGATAGTCTGGAAGAACACACAAGCTACTCAGTTTTTTTTTTTTTTTTAATTCCATGCGGACGGAGTCGGGGGCGTAAGCTAGTATTAAAATAAAATATTAGCACTGTTGTTTCTGTATTGTTTTGTCATATAGCAATATGAAAACAAAAGCACATGTATCCTTACCTTAAAACAAAAGTTGTCAAGTTCACTAAGAACATTATGGCTCAAGCTGTAAACTTGAACTTCTTTGGGCACCCCCACCCCTACACTCACGATGTTCTGGTCCACGCAGGTCGCTCTGTTCAGTTCATTTTCCATGTCACAGTCGCATTGCTTTGGACAAACACTTTCCCCCGCACACGCAGCAATGTACGCAATAATAATAAATAATATCAACCCCATTTTCCTTGCACCACTGCACTTTCACAGTAACTCAGCATTATGATTTACTGTTATTTCCAATAACAAGTAAAACGCATTGACGCATACCGTCACATAAATAGAGCAATGTAAGAATCGCTGTCTTCGAGTGTATGTACAAGATAAGATAGCAAATTATCTTTATATATAAGCATAGATTACTTTATTCCAGCGATAGATCGCAAAGGTGTGGTCCTTTCGAAAGAGTTGTGTTTTGTTTAAAATTATCACGAAAGTTATTGCCTAAAAATTAAACAGCGTGTATCAACAAGCATAGGTTATCTGTTAGCGTGTAACCTTCATAAGATCAGTTTTAGTGGACTCATTATATTAAAGTAACTTTTATATTAACGACGAAATATATACTAAGCTGAGGTAGGTTCAAACTGCAATAATGAAAAAGATAAACATAGGAAGGTGAAAAATTACACTCAACAATTTACTCTAAATGTAGTCAATTTTTGAATTATATTATGAATGATTGTATATAAACACAAATTACTGAAATAAAAAAACCTTTAATAAAAATTCATTTTACTTACATTTAATACCATATTTACATAATTTAATATTGTTTAATGCTATGTGAATAAATTAGAGTTCTGCCTTTGCTGGGTAGATGTGGAGTAACAGCGCTTCATTGTGAAGTCAATGCTCATGATTGCATTCCGCACATCAAAAACAGATGCATTGATTGTCTCAAAGGTTCCCGCTAGTCTGTCAACTGCCATAGCCTGATTATCAAAATTATTTACTTATACATAAGAAGGCCTATTTCTCTAAATAAATAAATACCTCAAACATGAAAGTAAATCATAGATTAACAGTTTGTGACCACAGGACTTTTAATTGGCTATCTTTTTTTTAAATAATTACATTTTTAAGTTAGCTATAATTGTACTTAAAAAAATAAAATACTTGTGCTTGAAACTAAAAAAGCTAATAAATGGATACTAAAATTTACCTGCTTATGTGATGCCTCAGCCATTTGTTCTAAAGCTTTAGAACTTTTAAGAGTAGCTTCTGCCATTTGAGATAAGGCAAGAGCTTGTTGGTCCATCACATCTACCTGTAATAAATACACATAACATTTGAAAAAAACAAAGATTGATGATTTTTTACTTTGTTAAATCTTTAAAAAAATTAATGTTGATTACAAATTAAACATACTAATTTTTCCATCACATTTGTGTATCTTTCATCAGTATCTGTGGACAGTAACCGGTCATCACTGCTAGGAAATCCAACATCATCATCCTTTTCAAATATACTGTCTAGAGCATCATCACCATTGCATGCTTCTTGTTTCACAGAACTCTTTCTTTCTGTCAACAAATTTTACACTTAAAAGTGATATTTAAACTATGAAATGGTTTAAAATTAAATTTTGTATTGAAATCAATAGGAATGTATAAACACTTTATAAGGCTGTGCTCACAGACTTAAAAACAGATGTGCTTATATCATAAATAGAATATAAATACCATAAATACAGATATTAACAACTTTGTCAGCCAGTGACATGTATAAAATACATCATCACCACCAGCTCACTACATGTCCCCACTGAAAGGCTCAGAGCCTACCCTAAGTTAGGAATGAGTAGGTTATAAAATACATACAATGAGTAAAAAAGCGACAAACTTACTTGCATGCTTAATATTAGGTGTGAGATCTAGAATCCGTAACTCCAGGACTGTGAGAGGATCAGTTATTTTGCCTTCAGCTATTTGTTTCTGTTTCAATATTATGCTACGTCTTTTGTCTGACCAGAACTGAAAGAATATATCAATACATATAGAAGTTACATACATCCTTATAAGTTGGCTGTTTTAAAGAATATTGCTTACTATCAGACCAGGGACAGTAAACCATTAGCAATTAACAATAATAAATCAGGATTTAGATTAATGATACATTTACATCCTTAGTTCCTAGTAAGGTATATGTCAAGTTAGCATTCAATTGATAGTCATATAAAGACATGCAGAGTTTACCTTGATCCAACCTTTTACTGATTTTGTAGTACCTTGTATATCATTAACTATACTAGATAGTTCCATCCAAAGTGTTTTAAACCTTTCATTACTCATACCATCTTTTTGTTTGCGGTGAGCCAAGTCTGGATGCTTTTCCATAAACTCCAAGATTGCTTTTACTTGCGCAAATGAAGGTCTGGTTACCTAAAACCATGGCATTTAATAGAATCAATCTAAACCAGTATATATACTAAGATTTACTTGCTTGTGTAGTAAATACGAAGTTATTGATTAGTAAACACGAAATTCGATTTGTTTTACATTTAAAATTCCATTATACTAACACGGCGGGTACTTTCGGGTATTTCAGCTTCTTCCATATCAGCCACGATTTAATTAAACTTATGAGATATTTGAAAAATTATTGTTTCATTAATAATTTATAATAGGTAAATTTTAAAAAGCGGTTATGAAACACTGTGGAATTTACTTCTTGTATTAAGAAAAACACTAACTATGTCGAAATTAATGCTACTATTTAATTCTTTATGTAAAGGTATAACTTTAGGTTTATTTTTATTAAAAATTCGTTATTAAGACATGACAGTGACAAACTGATAAGCACCGACAAATTATGTCAACCAATATAAATAACCAAAATAATGGAGAATGGTAATCTAGTTGATAAAAAATATGATTTGAACGTTTTTTGGCTTGAAGATGTTTTTTAAATTATGGACCTAATACCATCCTGATCTTCCCCTTTTTCCATAACTTTGCATGACTTGTAATTTAAACGGGATAAAAGAAAACAATTTCGTTGTGTTACTCTTTGTTTCTTGATAAATTATTATAGGGCAACACTGGAAGATAGTACTTCAACTTCAATCAAGTCATCTCTCCGCAATACAAGTCTTAGGAAAAAAAAATGTTTAAAAGATTTTTGCTTCCACACTAAATCTGTATTATAAATTACTTCTTACAAACGATAAAAAGATTAATCATTGGATCCATTAATTTTTTTTTACACTTAAGATGTAAATGGTGAATAGTGTGAAAAGTGCAATCACAAAGGTCAGTGTAATGTGATGATATTCCAATTGAAAATAAAATTCAGCTGACTCTTGTTTACAACGTCATAGTTATGTATTCCTTTGAGGGAGATTTTAGGCGAAAGCCTCAACAAAATTTAGCTGGCGCCAGTGCTCAGCGTAAAACAGATCGAGATGCTTTGATACTACAGACACAGCAGCAAAGACAGAAACGCGAGGTTAGTTACAAAACTTGGATTATTTTATATCCAATAACATATAAATTTTTAACCAGAAATCAGTTAACAGAACATAGTAAAGTATTTCCATATTGGTTTATCGTTGTTAGCTAGAATACTTTAATGACATAGCATAATTCAAGATTTGTGTAAACATATTTGATACAATTGTTATAATTAGCCTGGAGATATCAGATATTGTCAATATTCTTAATAACTACCAAGATTTGTTAACAATATATCACAAAGTCAATGTGTAACTGTATTTAGTGTTTATTAGATTAATTCTACATTTATGAATATAAGATAATATTAAATGTAAATATTATAGGAACATCGTAGAAGACTGAATAGTACAATCAAAATCCAAGCTTTTGTACGAAGCTACCTTACAAGGAAACATTGCAAGCAAGTTGAAAGAGAGCAGTTTGATACAATATTCCCAAGAGCCAATCCCGATGATCAAAACATAATAACATTGTTAGTAGCAAAGATATTATTCTTTTACGATGATCGGAAAGATTTTAACAGATTGGTAAGTGATTTATTTTAATTAAAATTAATTCTAAAACATTGTAAAAGTTTCAAAGCAAGATAATAAAACAAGTCAGTTTGTTTACTGTTTTTGAAATATATTAAAAATCAATATCATTTTAGGTGTCTATATCACAGCTATTATTGAAGCAATGGCAAAAAGTGTTTCAAAGTGGAGGCTCTTCAATACAGATCAGGCGGTTGCTTGCTTTACATCTCCGATTGCTTCAAAATGATTCAGAGGTATAACATTGTATCTCACTAAGTATATTAAAAACTTATAAATAAACTTCAACACCCCAGTTTATTATAAATTACAATATGAAATATTTCCTTGCCTTATAAGCCATATAATAAAATGAAATCCCATTACACTCCTACAGTTTTAAGCATGCAGTTTACAGGTATATATCAAACTGAAGTGTGGTGGGTTTAAGAAATGCAATGAAAAATGTTTGACTTTTTTTTTGATATGGCAATCTTATTTGTTAAGGTTCCTTTGGCTGTGCCATTGAGGATGTTAGAGGTGTTCACATCAACACAATCTGCGGAAACATCAATGACTTGTGAAGAGGCTGTTAATATTATTGGAGGATCATTTTTATATTTGATCAAAAGAGGCAAGTTATCTGAGATATCATAGACTTGCTACTTATTTATAGATAAAATTAAAGATAACTGTTTATCTAAAAATTTATATCAAATTAAAAATATATTTACCTATAGCATAAAATTTTTTGACAATAACATTGGATTAATTTGTGTAATTTGTAGGCTACTTTAAAGATTTACGTAATCTGATGTGTCAACGCACACCACCTTTATATGGACCATCACCGAATCCACCCACCCCTTTGTGCGGCGCCTTGCTGGATTTAATCCAGAGACCGCTCAATCTGACTGTCCAAATTAATACTTCACTATATGAGTAAGTATTTAAAAGTATAATCACTAAATAGTATTAACTAGCTGTTGTCTGCGATATGGTCCATGCAAAATTAAAATAACATAAGCCTATAATATGGCCGTCTATGTCAGCTATGTCAGCCCGGCTGTTTCGGAGATTGCCCGCAACAAACGCGGTTTGCGGACTGACAGACAAATAATTTTAAAAAGCCTTTTTCGTTATCAGCAACGCAAATACATCATCTTCCCGAAATCTGGAATTTTTCTTTTGATATTACTAACAGACACTCACTCATTAACAGGGACAAGCTCATAGATTTTTGTGCCCTTGAAACACTTAGAAAATATCTTGCAAATTTGCAATTATATACCAATAACTAATAATTTTTAATGTTCTGTCAATTTCTTCCTATATTATTTTTTTTGCATGATTAATATAATTATTTATTTTCAGAGATACAGTTATAACAGAGTTTGCGTCAACATTCTTGTGCAATCCGTATCCGGAGCCTGTTGAGATGTACATCCTACCAGCGCTAGCACAGGACCGTAACAGTCCCTTCCCCTTCTTAGGACTTATACGATGTATGCGGGATGAACGTAAATTTACTAGCGGAAAATTAATCAATGACTCGTGGTTGTTACATTCCATTTTATCATTAGAACCTCCTGGATTTGGTGAGTAAATAAATTAGTATACGAAATAACCGTAATATTTTTAAAATTACATGCACCGGAAACAAACAGACAAAAATGATTTAATAATATGTATGTTGAGTGACAATAGCTGCAAGATATTAAATTTATTTCTCAATATTACACACACAACAATTTTATTGTATGTATAGACGTTTATTGCATTTTGCTTACTTTTAAATATTCATTTTGTTTTAGGTAATCAGCTACGTAGTGTAGACAATTCAAAACTTCCGAACAATCCAATTGTGTTAGAATATCTGAAGATATTAGCGATGCTGACAGAGAATGTGTGCAATAAACAGATAACATATGAATATGAAAATTCATTGTTCAGTCAGGAGACGGCAGCGGATAAAGATGATGATAGTGATGATGAGGTGGAACCCAACCCAACGTCAGTGAGGGAACAGACATTGTTGACTAAATGTATAGAGATGTTGAATGAACCAGACAATTGCATCATGATGACATGTTCCCAAATCAATGAAAATGAACTCAGTGAGGACTTTTTAGATTATATTTCCAAGATATGTCATAACTTACTTTTGAGTCATAAGATGGCTCTACATAAGTACCGGTAAGTTATCTCTGAAAATGATTTGTAATTTATCCCAATGACATGAAATAACTTCGAAAAATTCAATCGCCGTTATGCTATGAATTTAAATATTTCATTCTTATAACTACTATAAACTACATAACGCTATACTAGCTGGATGGCTGGCAACAACAGTGCAGTTCCCATAACATACTTCCTTGGACAGCCTCATTTTAAAATGGTCTGACCTTGGCAGTATTACGAAATCAGTACGATTTGAAGCTCAAGAAGCGAGCATACTTCTTTAAGGCTGACTACAAGACTTTATCATTGATTACTTTGTTTACTCCCTTTTCTTATGAGATAAACCACTTTTTTAAATTAAAATATTAGTAGATTTTGTTAATTTACTAATATTTCCTTTAATCATCCCAACCCCCAGATAAGGTTGAGGACAATAGTCGAATGGCGGGATTCGAACCCTAGACCGTAAGATCGGTAGTCCGTACCCCAAACCATTAGGCTATCGACGCTTTATCTTCGTATTTTCAACTTGTCTGATAGTCGTATACATGTCAGGTTACTGTACACGCTGGCCTTCAAGCCGATATTCGTGCGCGGGCTGTGGCGCTGGCTGAGCGGCATGTGCCAGGAGTCGCTGTTCGGCGGGCCCAGCACGGCGCTGCTGGCCGTGCTGTCGCGCGGCGTGGTGGCGCCCGGCGTGCAGCTGCTGCTGGCGCCGCTCGCCGTCTTCTGCGCGCTCTTCACGCTGCTCATCGGCACGCTGCACGATACGGAGTTCTTCAGGGATACCGGAGACAATGACACATTCAATTTCGATTGTAAGTTTTTATTTTTATTGAAGAAACCGCGAAGCGACCGCTGCCTATAGACATCTGCAGTTGCAGATCCGTTGCCTAATCGACGGAGAGGGAGATAAAGAGGATAATTCCCCTTCCTATGCGTCTCCTCCACCGTCAAATCCACTTTTTCTTCCTTCTTCTTAAGAAAAGGGTGGAAAGGGAAAGGGACTAAAATTAGGCACCTCACTCATTAGACGAAAGATTGAATTGCCTCCACTTCACGCCTTTTTTTCTGTGTGGTCGTGGTTTTGCGCAGACCCATTCGTACTAAGATATTTAAGCAGGCTCTACCACTGTAAATTAATCCAGATTATATTCTACATTCTACTATATCTATTCGAAATTTCACCATCTAGATAAGCTGGTCTGGAGATACGTTTTTACTTCTTGATTTATCCATCCAAAATACCTTTACCTTCTATGATTTGATTTTTATGCATTTCAGTGAGTATACCAGGTCCGTCTGTGGGTCGCACACACGCGTTCGAGTTCTCCGAGCTGGGCGCGCTGTGCCGCGCGCTGCGCCAGCTCTGCCTGGGCCTGCTGGAGCTGGCCGTGCCCGACACCCGCCTCGCGCTCGCACTCTCCCCGTACAAGCAGCCCACGCAACAGCACACGCAGGAGTGGACACATCTCTTCAAGGTACAACCCTAAACGTAAATAAATAAAAAAAACTATAAGCTTCACTATATAAAAATGTACTCATTTACAAAAGTTGAAACACTTGTCTTGACTTTGGTACAAAATGTACACTCAGGACAATTCGCGGTGTTCCCTTTTCAGAAAAATTACCTGTTGAATTCAACGAAACAATCTGCGCCTCGTACAAATTAGTTAGCAATGAGTTGCGCAAATGTTATAAAAACATAAAGCCGTATGAACCACTGATCGACCTTATTTTCGTACAAACATATTTAGATGCGGAGTCCTAATAGTTAATGTTTTCGTGGTCGTCTCAATGCGTCCAAAACGTTCAAAAGTGTGTAGGTTAACTTATGAAAACTTTTGTGAGACATTATACTTTATAAATTATAACACGACTATACTCACGTGACAACCTTCGGTGTAGCTACCGACCAGTTTCAGACCCGTCGGGGTTCCTTCAGGGTGAGTAGTTACCGGCTTTATTAGCTATCGCGTCGCGACGGACACTGAACCGTGAAATAAAGACCCCTGAAGGTCTGAAAAAGGTCGGTGCGTACACCGAAGGTTGTCACGTGAGTTTAGCCATGTTATGGTTATAATTTTTAGGTTAGGTTATAAGGTTTTCATTGCCAGATGCTCTAACTGTACACGTGTGTCAGGTGTGCACGCAGCTGCTGCGCACGCTGTACGCTCGCGACGAGCGGCTGCACTTCAGCACGGGCGGGGCGGCGGGCGGGCCGGGCGCGGCTGCTGGCGGCGCCAGCGCGGCCTGGTCTGGAGAACGAGAAGACGATGCCACCGAGGTGGCGGCGCTGCTCGTCTTCGCACGCGCGCACATCCGGGATACCACGCCTCTAGTCGACACCACACGTATTGTAAACAATGGTGAGAAGTACTATTGTAACAACTAACTATTGCGCGTGACTTCGTCTGTGCGAAGTTATAAAATAATTTAAATTTAGCCTATGTTACTGACTGATATCGTAGCTTCTAAATGGTGAAAAGAATTTTGAAATCGGCTTAGTAGTTTTTGAGTTTTTCAGTACATACAAAACTAAAAAACTTTTTACTAATAAATCGAAATCTCTACATGTGTATGGCTGTTAAGCAATAATTAGACACGTGTGTAAATTCAAATTTTACTTGTGTGAAATGTTTTTATTTATATTTTTCAGAAGAGGGACCACCATTCACGACAAAGGAATTGAGGATGCTGACTATATTAAAGGAGATTCCTTTCGTCATATCGTTCTCCACCAGAGTCTTGATATTCCAAACATTGCTACTTAGGTTAGCCTCAAATATGAGATAATTGATGTTTTAGTTTTAGGGAACATAATGTATTTATTTTTTCTCCAATTTCAGGGAAAAAAGTACAAATTGGTTGCAAAATTTTAACGAAGGCCCTTCAATTAATATTAATATTAGACGGACACATTTATATGAAGATGCCTTTGAAAAGCTGAGCCCAGAGAATGGTAAGCAAATTAAATTACAAATCCCCGTTTCCATCAGAACTCATATATCTTAATACCACCATAATTCTTGTTACTTCCAAATACTTTATCCATGTACAGTCGCGGAAATGCGCGGTGTACCTATTACGGAAAATACCCTATTCCTTGCAACGAAACAAACTTCGCCTCTACGTACAAATGCGAATTATGTTAATAAACCTACTAATTGTGTACTGTTCGACTTTTTTCATACTGACAGATTTAAACGTTGCATCCAATCAGTTATTGTACCTCGTATCTCAATACGCTTGCTAGCTTTTTAATCGTGACACCGCCAGATTTAACTGATTGTACATTTCGCAGAACCCAATCTGAAGCTGACTTTGCGCATTCAGTTTATTAACCAAGTGGGCGCGGACGAGGCCGGTGTTGACGGCGGCGGTGTCTTCAGGGAGTTCCTCTCAGAATTACTAAAGTTCGTTAGACTTCATTGTTTTATTTTTATATACAGATAGTGAAGTTTCTCTAAAATATTTCTGTTTTAAACTTATCTATTTCTTATAAGATAACCAGAAAAAATATAGACAAAAAATCAACCATTGAGGTAAAAAAAAAACATTCTTTTTCGTGCGACTAAACATGGCCAGTGTTGTGACGTCATCAAACAATAAGAATGGATTTGATTGGTTCTCAGAGATGTCAAAAGTCAAAAAGTGATCAAACTACCAGTAACTTGTTTCAACTAATAGCATTGTGTTTTAGAACAAGGAAGGGAATTAAAACAAATACTATTAAATTATTAAATTTCGCTACTAAGAGCCTATCCCACCAAATTGTAAATTGTATGATAACAATCCAATGTAAAATATGTGATAGAAATATTGAATTATGTTACCTTATCTAACAGTGACTTCATTTTTAAACTATTACTATATTTACTACTTAGCCTTAGCAGCCAGTGGTGGGACAGGCCCTAAATCTTTTGATTGTACTTTTCAGATCAGCATTCGATCCTAACAGAGGGCTGTTTCGTTTGACCAAAGACAACATGTTATATCCCAATCCTGGAGTACACTTGCTGTATGACGACTTCCCGATGCACTATTACTTCGTGGGGAGAATGCTTGGAAAGGTATTTTAGTATTTCATAATTTATCCAATTATTAACATTTTAATGAGATTGGTAGAATATTCTACTACAAGAAAAAGACCAAACTTGGTTTTAAATTTCTACGAAATACAATCATACTTCTTACTTAATATGGATGTTTGTTAGGATTAGCACAGGTGTAAATCATAGTTTGGAAGAACACATATATTACTTTTTAATTGTGTGCGGACGGAATGGAGTTTATCATAACATTTCATTAGTATGTTACTCACTGATAACGTAGTTTTTTATTGGTGAAAGAATTTTTGAAATTGACCTAATAGTTTTTGAGTTATTTTAAAACATACAAAAATACGCATAGGAAGGTGAAATTTCCTCTTTATGTGCGTCTCCTCCGTCAATAAAGGGTAGGCAACGTATCTGCAATTGCTATCTATGGGCAGCGGTCGCTTTCCATTTCGGTGGATTCACGTGGCCGCTTGCTCGTTTCCCATCTTATGTTATAAAAAAAATACAAATCCTTCCTCTTTCTAATACTAGTATAGATTACTGTGTATGCGTAGGCGCTGTACGAGTGCCTGCTGGTGGAGCTGCCGCTGGCGGAGTTCTTCCTGAGCAAGCTGTGCTCGTCGCGCGAGCCGGACGTGCACGCGCTGGCGTCGCTGGACCCCGCGCTGTACCGCGGCCTGCTGCAGCTGCGCGCGCACGCCCGCCGCGACGTGCCCGACCTCGGCCTCGACTTCACCGTGCTCACTGACGACCTGGGCGAGCAGAGGGTGGGAAAAATGTTTTTTGGTCCTTCGAGTCGGATCTGGCTTATTATGTACTGAACTGAAAAACTGCAACTATCGGCAATAATATATTTATGATTATTATAATAATTGTTAAAGTAAAAATATTCTGTGGTTAAATTTCGGATTTTTATATGTGATTTCAACGCATGAGCGTCTCGTAATGCTTCAGAAATTCTTTACTTCGTATATGTGTCTTAGTATACCAATTTATGTAACTATTAGAATTAGATGCATCAATTAATTTAAAAATCATATTGGATAATAATGTCGAATGTACAATTTTATTTTGCACAGACAGAGGAGTTGAAGCCTGGAGGTGCCAATATACCTGTCACAGCCGAGAATAGGATAGAATATATACATCTTGTTGCAGATTACAAACTTAATAGGTACGTATTGCACCAAGTATTATATTTCAGTAGATTTTTGTTAGTTATTCTAGTTAAACTTAAACAAGCGTGTGTGCTTATGATTCATGACAATATTCGAATGCCGGGATTAGAACCCACGACGTCTAGACTGACAGTGGACCGACCAATAATCCAGTAATGCACAAATTTACTAACCAAAGTGCCATATAAAAATAAATTAAGAGACAAATTGTTTTTAGCAACCTTTTATTATACTAAATAAGGACACCAAATAAAACTCATCTCATTTCATACTCAATAAATATTTATTAATGCAAACAATGTGCTTGATTTGAAAAGTTATAGTAAGTCAGCTGTATTTAAATAGCTAAAGAACTGCATTTAATCAGCCAAAGAGCCACATGCGGCTCTGGAGCCTTACTTAAACAGCCAAAGAGCTACATGCGGCTCTGGAGCTGTACTTAGAGTCAAAGAGCTACATGCGTCTCTGGAGCCGTACTTAAAGAACCAAAGAGCTACATGTGGTTCTATAGCCGTACTTAAAGAGCCAAAGTGCTACATGCAGCTCTGGAGCCGTACTTAAAGAGCCAAAGAGCTTCATGCGGCTCTGGGGCCTTATTTAAAGAGCCAAAGAGCTATATGCGGTTCTGGATCCGTACTTCGAGCCAAAGAGCTACATCCGATTCCAAAGCCGCACTTTTTCTATTACTGTATTAGTATGTTTTAATGAGTGATTATTGTTGTAGACAAATAAGAGCCCAGTGCAACGCATTCAAGCGCGGCGTGACGTCGGTGGTGAGCGCGGAGTGGCTGCGCATGTTCTCCTGCCGCGAGCTGCAGCTGCTGGTCTCCGGCGCGGAGGTGCCCATCGACATCGACGACCTCAGGAAGAACACCAACTACGCAGGTACACACTTTTATACCACAACTAGCTGTTGCCCGCGACTTCGTACCCGCTATCTATGTGTTATATACACACGGTTATATTTTCGCGTTATCAAACATAGAGGGTGGGAGAATTAGAAGATAATTTCAAAAAATACAATTAAATAGAGGAATAACGTTGCTATGGTAACTTAAATTCTCAACCAGACTAAATACTACTACATAATTTGTAAATCTTTGTTTAACTATATTTGGTACTATAATAGAGATATTTAATTTATTTTAAATAATAATGAAGCGATAAACCGCAGTTATTTTTTTCCACTAGCGGTCCTCGACAAGTAATGTTAGGAAAAGGGTCTTAACAATGAAATAGTGTTGTAATGTATGTATGTCGTAGGTGGTTTCTCTGAGCGTCACCCGACGGTGCAGGCGTTCTGGAAGGTGGTGGAAGGCTTCACCAACGACCAGCGCCGGCAGCTGCTGAAGTTCGTCACCAGCTGCTCGCGACCTCCACTACTGGGATTTAAGGTACACAAAGCAACTTAGGTAAAATTAGCAAACTGAGCTGCAATGGATGCCATTATTTAAATTAATTTCGTTTAAAGACTTGATTTCCTACAGTGTAGTATCTATCTTTACTAGTGTAATAAAAGGTAAACACACACTTCTTTGTTGCCTAAGATGTCAGCAATGGGGATGTTTCCTAATGTTACAAATTCAAATAAAGTTATGTTTAATATTTTAATGACATTATTTTAAAACCTATAATAACATTTGGAGACCTTAAATGTTTGTCTCCATTGAAATATAAATTAAAAACGCTGCAATATTTTTTACCCTCCATTACTCAATCTCAAACACCAATCAGAGCTCGGTGACGTAGCTTCTTCGCCAACAACATGGCAGTGTGACCAGCTTCAGTGAATGTCAGTGCATCTTGTAGTTATAATTTTTTTTTAATCATTATAATAATTGAGTTTGCGTGTGTTAGATTATGAGGACTCCATTATTAAGTGTTTTTATATTTACGTCATATTTTACGAGCAAATTTTTCGATCACTATGACGAAAAAAAAATAGTAAAAGTTATTTGAATAGCTAATTCAATTTACGTCTGGTCACTTTGAATGACTTTGACAGACCGCGACGCGAGGTTTGTTAGCAAAGAAGTGACGTCATGTCATGAGGCGTTTTCGCGGTCTTTCGAGAAGTTGTTTTTAGTTAAGTGTTTTTGTAATTAAATGTTGCGTATATGATTTTATTGTATTGTTTTTTCTTGTTTAGATACGGTTTATCTACATAATAAAAGCAATATACTTTGTCAAGTTCTTGACCAACCAGCTCAGGGGGGTCATGACCCCCAAGACCTCCCGCCCCCCTCGATCCGTCGTTACCAAACAGCGATTTTTTTTTTACTTAGCTGGTTAGAAAAATTTGGCTAAGAAAATGGAACAAGCCATTTGATATTGGTAATAGTAAGATGTGTGTGCAGGACCTGATCCCGACGTTCTGCATCCAGTCTGCGGGCGCGGCGGAGCGGCTGCCCACCGCCTCCACCTGCATGAACCTGCTGAAGCTGCCCGAGTTCCGCTCCGAGCAGGCGCTGGCCGACAAGCTGCTCTACGCCATACAGGCCGGCGCCGGCTTCGAGCTCAGCTAGTGCCGGTCCGTCTTCTCTCCTCTCTCTGCACTATACTAATAAAGAGGATGTAATCTTTACAGTGGTAGAGCCCCCAGAAATACCACGGCCACCAAGACAGGCGTGAAGCGGCAGCAATTCCGCGTTTCGTCTGATGAGTGTGGTGCCAGAGCCCTAATTTAAGTCCCTTTCTCTTTACCACCCTTTTAAATGTCATCGAAATCCTTACAGCCGTTTAGGCTACAAACTCTAACAAACATCCATCTAAACTTTATTTATAATATAACATTTATAATATGAGGTATGATATCAGCAATCATAGCATGTTTTTTGAAATACTGTTTTTTTCTTATAAAAACCCATACACTCACGACACACTCTAGGATATGTATTTTAAGATTATCAGAAAGTAAGTTTTGTTCGATACAACTATTAATTCAATTTGATAACCTAACATCAATTTTTTTTTATTTCCACGCCTTTAAACTAAGGAGATGAGTAAATTGGAAATAAATGTCATTACAGACAGGGACAAATATAAAATGAAAGTTTTAATAATGATTATTAATAAATTTATTTTCAGACATGTGTACAGCGGGAGACGAGTGCATCGTTTATATTATAAATATACGTCATTCTGCAACACATTAGTGTACTGAGTGTAAATCTCATTGTGATAATGTTAATTTTATATAGAGCCGGTTTTTGTGTAAATAAATATTACCCGAATTGCTCCGCGAGACTTTTATTTCATAGGAAATTGATACGAAGTAAAGTTTAAAAAAAAAATTTGTTTCCATCGAGATTTTTAGGAATTTCTTGCTCAATACCTAAGGGGTTATCACGAATACTCGTGAGATCGTTTCTATCACATTTAAAAAATCTTTGCAGGAATGGTTTTATAGTAATAAAGTATACTTAAAAAAAGTTTGGTACAATTTGGCGTCATATGCATAGTGCCTATTGTACAGCACTTCTAAAGTGCACCAAAAAATCTCGTACAAATGTCGATGGAATTACGAATACGTTCTCGAAACTCACGCTTCGTGATAGACCCTCAATTGTCAAAATTTCTCAAAAATTATGCAATAATTTTTGTTTAATATTTATTTCGTTCTGCATTTAGTGACGTATAAATTTTTGCTATGTTTTTAAGAACAGGCTCACTGTTGAGTGAAATAATAACTCTTCATCTTTTTAACTCGTTAGAAATGTTTTAGCTTCTTTTAGTTATACTTTTCATGTATATATGTATATTTCTTAATCCGTGTGTATGTACAAGGTACAGTCAGCTGCATAAACATGTATACATTTACAAAACTTCAGACACTTTGTACACTTGTACACTTCCGACGAAGTGACCGATGGTTAGGTATTTTTATTACTAAAGGCCGACACTATTTTTTAAAGATTTGTAAATGTTTAAATTTATGCAGCTCATTGTACATGATTAAAATATACAGCAGTTTTATAGGTTTTATGGTGTTTCGGAAACAATAATATTAATGTTTATTGTAGATAATGTAATTGTATAAAGTACGTCCAACGAGAAGCGATACTAAAAAGAAGTGCGTAACCTTTTTGAGTTATGTTATACCAACAGTAAGTATGTGGCTTCAAAATTGGCTGCCCAAATGTTGGCAACTCCGTCTTATTTTTGCTAGAAGAACGACATATTACAAGTACACAAGATAGAAAGAGACAGATAGTAGATTGTCAACTCCATAGTCGTTTTAAATTTTTGTATCGCTGCTAATTGGATTTATACTTATATTCTGGATATTTTTTTAAAAAATAAACCATTGTTCATTCATAGGCTAAATTATTATGTTTTACGACCATAAGCCGTAGTTTACTAATATTCTAATGCAATATTCAATCCCATTTAGATGTATTTTTTTTAATCACGAATGTTTGTTCAAAGCTAAGTTGGTGAACTCTTTTGATGAGGAAAAATGTCCGTGTTTGTATTCCGGTAAGATTAGAATATCTTTTGTAGTTGTTTACATTTGTAATATCAGGAAAAGGCAATTTACTGGCGTACATACTACCAACATAGTAAATCATCAATTTATGTGTCAAATCCGATATCTACTTATAAAATGTATTTATCAAATAAAGTTATTAAAACCCTACAAAAGCCTTTTACTGTTCATCCATTGTATAGTCTAAGCGTTTGCTTCTCATAACTAAGGTGAAACCTAAGTAGAGTTAACCTAGCTTAGTTCATTCTAAACAAAATCTATGTTACCATTTCTTACTAATATAAATGCGGAAGTTTAGATGGATGGAAGGATGTTTGTTAGTGTTTCTAGCTTACACTGCTAAATCTCGATCGATGCTGATACTTTTTCTTTTGCTTTTTATTTTACGCAGACGGAGTCGCGGGCGAAAGCTAGTTATGTTATAAGTAACCCTGAACTTGGAACTAGGAACTCATCAATAACGAGTATTAATATTGGCTTAGGGTCCATCGGTTCCAATATGGCCGCCACTCGCCGCCATTAGCAGTTGTTGCAATCAATCAGGCCTGATGAATGAGGTTCGCGAGGCGACGTGAGCGCCCGCCTGCCCGCTTGCCCGCCGCCCCGTGTGCGGTAGCCCATCATGCACTCCGGTTGCCAATCATTCTTTGCTCGATAGGACAAAACCTTTTTGAAAAGCACGATTCTACCTCGAACAAAAAAATTAAGACTCACCTTCAGTACTTATATTATAAATGCGAAAGTTTAGATGGATGGATGTTTGTTAGAGTTGGTAGCCTAAACGACTGAAAGGATCTCGATATAATTTGGCATAGATGTAGCGCATAGTCTAGAATGCATAGGCTTACTTCTGTTGTTTTAATTCCACGCGGATGGAGCGAAAAAAAAGCGGGCGAAAGCTATTAATTAATATTTTGAATGACACATGCAAAATGTTTATTTAACTTATTTGATTTAACAAAAGTTTATTTTTTAAATAACAGTGACTTCCTGTTTTTTGTTTCTCGTTCTAATTATGTAAAGGGATAGGAACCATTGTTTTTTTGTAACATCCTCCTTTGAATTATGAAAGGGTGGTGACATTATCTGGGATCGTGCTGGCGCGCGGCGGAGCGTTTTGCTGACTCATTTCCCATAAGCAACCTGAGTCGCCGAGGAGGGCTGCGCAATCGCTACACCCAAGCCTCGGAGATTGCATTACACTTTATAGAGAATGTTGCTTGCCTACAAATATTTTACGCTGCAGTGAAATACCATACAGATTTCCTGTTGTTGATATTATCTTATGAGAAACGCTCTCAATACATTTTCAACCAAATCAGTACAAACGAACCTTTACTTCCACACTACAACATATCAAAAAATCGATAGGAAATAAAAAATGAGAGTTTGTAAACACTCAAGCTACCATATCGGTGAGTCATTCTTAATTACAAGCAATTTGTTGTGGATGGCTTTCATAAGCCACGCATATGGCTATTATAAAGTTTTCATTGATCTCAAGTGGCCGTGTACGCCAGGTTGGCCATCCTGTGAGTCAGCCGGCCACCGCGCGCGACCTTACGATCCTATGCCAATGAAAAGATTAAACGATCGCCTGTCAGCCTTAATGTGTATCAAATGGCCCAGCCATATTTTAATACAGTCATGTGGGCGATGTTTGATTTCAATTTTTTGTGTACTGGTACTTAGTGTTGCTGATAACAAAAGGTTTCTCTAAAACGGTTGTTAATAAGCACGTTTAGAATAAAATGGTTTATATATCGCAGGTCATAAATTAGCTACTTTAAGTAATGATTTGAAGAAACAGTGTCTGCTTTAAGTGTCATTTATACAAACTTAGTTACTTATGAATCCGCTTCTTCTTTTTAATAAATGGAGCCTTGGAATCGATGGTGATGCATGAATGGAATTGAAAAACAAAAATAATGGAATCCTCTCCTTACGGTACACTAATTTCTGGTTGTGTGTAACAACATAATATTCGCCAGTCGTGGCTAGGTTTAGAGGCAACTTCTATTACTACGGTTAACGAAGTATTTTTGATATTTATTTTACAATTTAGATTCTCAAGGGGGCAGCTGCCCCTCCCTTTAGCGACGCCAATGGAATATTGGTTAAAATAAATAGTGTCAATGATTATCAGAGCTGACTTTAACATCCTTTTCGTATCGGATCGCTCCTGACGCTTGACAGTTTGACGTGTGTAGGCAACAGTAATTTCGAATGCGAAGCCCGTATCAGTCGGATAGCCACTGGCTCATTGGCAACATTGTTCGCTGCCGGCTTATGTGGAAAGTAACTGAATGTTGACGTACGGCTGTTGAATTAAAATTCGCACTATGACGTCAATCTGGTACTGAACCGTGAAGAACTTAAGCAGATTGTTAAAAATGGCACCCAGGTTTTTTTTACTTTTTTTTTTAATTAAATGCCTGCGAAATTGTATTAAAGTGTGTGGTTATCTTTATTTTAAGCTATTGTACAAAAACCTGAATAAAATGCAATGAAATTACATTTTTTGTTTTCCTTTCGCGTACAAACCATTCAGATACTCAAAATGTACCTACAGCAAAAACGAAGTGAGCAATTGCACATAAATTGCTTAATTTGATTTTATGTTACCGTGCACACAATGTACAATTGTACAATCGTGGTCATTGTCCAGGTGACATGACATAAACGTTAAGTGTATTATTTTGTCGGACAACGGTAAGGGCTATGTCACATGGCCTAATGTATTAAATGTTTACTATGTACGACAACGGCTAAATGTAAATTTACGTTTTCTGCCTAACCCCCATAATTAAAAGGGCGATTCAAATCACGTTAATCTAATGTGCGTGAGTGATTTTTTAAACTCTTCCGAACCAAAAGTTATTTACACCAATTATTGTTTTAACATTATTATTACTACAAACTAGGATTTTTATTTTAAACATTTGGGATTTATGGATTCACAAAATATATATTTTTCATTTTCGTGTGATTAGGCCCTTAGTAATTCGTCGCGGGTGGTCGCTAGTCGCTACGCTTCTCAGAAGGTCATCGGAAGGCTCTATACATTGCCTAGGAGCTCGTAAACCTCTCTAGGATACATAATTATAGGGGCCCACGTCTACGTATAACAAAGTAGTCAGGAACCATTGCATTGGGAATATAATGAATGGCCTGAAATGCCAACACGTAATGGGTCTGTTGTAATAAAAACTGGAATGAAAAGTATATTGTTATATACAACTGAATATTAATAATCAAATAGCCGTTTAAACTTAGTTGTACCTTTCGGTTTAAATGCAAATTTAAACCTAGATCATTACATATAGATCCTAGACCTAAAAGCATTTACTATTTTCGTAACACATTTGCAGGATGATTTTTGTATATAACACTAATACTGTAAAGTGGAATGATTTGTATTTTTGTATGTATTGAAATAACAAGGGCCGATTTCAATTTTTTTCCACCATTAGAAAGGTAATTTATCTGTGAGTAACATAAGCTATATTTTTTAAGTTCACGCGGGCGAAGTCGCGAGCAACAGCTAGTAACATACAATATTAAAGAACAAGTCTAAAAATTGCTTAATTTGAACCAATAGTAATGACTTAAATTGTAATTCCAATGCCTAAATATATAGAATTTCTTATATCTTTGCCTAATTCAATCGTTATATTAGCCTTACGTTCTGAATGTAGTCAGTGATTGCAAACCATTGCTGCTCAATGTCTAGAATTTGATATTCATTGA